CATGAGCTCGTTTTTTGTGGCTTCAACTTAATACTGTCATACAAAATACCAATGCAATGTACAACAAACTCCAACTTATACCTAGGATCAAGCACAACTGCTACAATCAAAATCTTATTCATTTTATCAACTTTACCCCAATACTTGTTAAACTTAATCTTCATGCTATTTGCTATACTACTTAGCAAATAATCTTGCTTCTCACCCATTTTCTTCAAAATTTGCTCGATTTTACAAACTTCATGGAAGTAAATATTGAAAGTAACACTCAATGAAGCACTAAACTTCAATGGGACATCATAAAAGGTTCTTAGAAACTTGACAAATTTTCTAGCTTTCTCCCAATCATAACTTGTAGGTGGCATCTCTTTTTCTTTTACACCTTCATTTTCATCAAAATATTTACAATAAAATCCGTCCTCTTCCTCCATTCTTTCAAAAGCTTTTTCAAAATTCAATGCACTATCCAACATTAAGAATGTTGAATTTCATCTAGTAAGAACATCTAAAATAGCAAGTTTTGTACATGCAATCTTTTCCCTTTCAATACAACATTTAAATTTTGTCAATCGGGAAGGAGATGATCGAAAATATTTTACCACATTGCGAATACTATCTATAGATGGATTAAACTCTTTCAAACCTTCTTTAACAATCAAATTGACTGTGTGTGCTGAACAACCTACATGAAGATAAGAGCCACCTAAAATCATAGTATCATCAGGTTTCCAATTCTTCAACTTGTTTTTCACATAAACGATCACTACATCATTTATGTTTGCATTATCTACAGTAATGGTACCCACACACTCTATTCTCCAATCAAGCAGATACGTCTCAATAATCTTCCCAATTGTCTCCCCTTATGATTTGGAACTACAGAAAAACTCAATATCCTCTTATGCAATTTCCAACTTCTATCAATAAAGTGTGTTGTGACTACCATATAATTAATATTTTGAATTGATGTCCAACAAACAGTGGTTAAAGAAATCCTTTGCCTATCCCTAATAAATTCAATCATCAACGATTCCTTTGTTTCATGGTAGAGATGTAGCACGTCTATAGTAATCGTTCTTCGAGAAAGAACCTCAAATCTAGGGCAAAGTTGACGAACAAATTCCTTAAAACCCACACCCTCCACAAAGGAAAAAAGCCAATTCATCAATAATAATCATCTTAACTAATGCTTTTCTACACATTTTTTTATTAAACACCGTAGGCATATTACCACCATCGTTGTTTTCTTGAGTGAGTAGTGGTTGGTTTTCATCATTTTTAGTGTTTTTATATGCATAACAAGTTTTTAAATGCTTCCACATGCTAGAAGTCCACTATTAGTGTCAGCCTTAAATGTTCTCCCACAGTAATTACATCATGTTTTTTCTCCACCAAGTATCTTAGTGAAATGATTCCATATTTCTGACCTCTCATTAGGCTGCTTTTTGTCTCCCATTTGGTATCACCTTAACAAAAAACTGATTAAATCATGCAAAAACAATGTGGAACAAAATCATCAAACACTATTAATGAATAGAGAGAAAGCAGCAAAACATTCTGGAAAACACTGCTTACTAATCATGTAAGTCAGTATACAAAAACCACCAAGAAATAAGAGCTTGATAATATCTTATACTGAACTTCGAGAATAATTCTTGCATCTGACTTCTCATTGGATAATTTCTCGATCAAGGATCAGGACTTAATCAGAAGAGTTACGACCAAAGACATGTAAAATGGTTTGGAGAATTCTCTTTATAAAACCATGGCTTCTATATTTTGTGTTTTATCCTTTTTGAAGAGCAAATTTATTCCCATTGTCGCTCCGTATTCGTGATTAGAACTCTGAAAAAATTTTATGGTAATTGCTTACACTCTCTCAACCTAGTAGTGCAGCTTTGTAGCTCTCCAGAGGCACAAGAACACTAATATCAAGATAAAGCTGTCGGATATTGCAGTAATGGATTTTTGTTATGGAAAAACCAAGTGAACAAACCCATGGCAAAATAACTGTTACTAGTATCTGGATTACCACACAAGATCACTACATTACTAAGTTCGTCATTCAATATTTACCAAAATATCAGGGTTTAAATAGAACAAGAAATAATTTTTAAGTTTTATGCTTCTACTATACTGTTATTAGATTCTAACATTACACCATTCTAATGAAAATTTCTTAACAGCTAAATGGTTTTACACATCAAAATCTTGCAACAAACAGTTTGATTTAATAAACGGAAAAATTAGTAGATAACATCAAATCAAACAAATTGAACTGTATTTAAATAAAATATATTGCTACTGCTCATGCACAAACAATGATCAGATACCTGCTAAAGAACATAAAATATTTTGGTTCGAAAAAATCATCCCACTCACAGAAATAGTGAAAAGTGAAAACGAACGGCAACGTAAAAGAACTCACCAAAATCTGAACTCTGGAAGGCGGCGAACGAAAGTTTGAAACTAGTCGGAGCCTTGAGTGGAGAGGGTCGGACTGTCTGAGAACTCCGGGTCGACAATTGTACGTGTTTTCTGGGACTGCGAGAGTGAGTGTATCAAGAGCCGCAGACAGGAACCAGGGTTATGCACTTATGCTTGTAGTTGTAGCATGTAGGTGTTTAGTTTACACTTTAATGTTTAGGGTTATTTAGTATGGTTGGATCATGTTGGGCCAAAAATTAAAAAAATTAGAAATCAAACAATAAAATGGGTTGGGCCAAAAGCTAAAAAATTATAAATGAAACAATTATTGGGCAAAAAAATTGAATTTAGAAATTCTTAATTTGTTTGGAAAAAAATTAAAATTAAAAACATTTGATTTATTCAATATAAAAAAATAAGTAAGAAAGATTCGATTTTCATTCGGTTCTTTGGTTCTTGGTATAGAACCGAGAACCGAACCGTACTCGTCGATTCTCAATTCAAATATCCGTTCGGGTATTTAATTCGACAAGAACCGTCGGGTTCGGTTCGATTCGAGAGATTTGCCCAATCCTAAACGGAATTATTCGGAGATGCCTTTGGTTTAGTAACATATGTGGCCCAGGTGGAAGATTATTGGGTTTATTAATTTGTTATGTGGGCTTACGTATATAATTAATTCTGTATAAGGCTATCTTGAAGTTAAGCCAAAATTAAAGTGATATAATAAAGAATTAAATAATTAGACTTGGAGCATCTAAATAAAAATGTAAGTCGGATTATATGTATAGAGACCAGATTCCTTTATAAATGTATTCCATGATATATAAAATACATATGAAAACTATATATAAGGTTATGGTCTCCAATTTATATGCAACTTTTCGTTCTTTGTGTCCTATCATTGAATTGTTTTAAACACAATCAACTTCCTCATTAAATCATCTACTGTCCACTGGGATTATGTCACCGCATTTGTTACAATTTTTCTATCTAAGTGGCAAAATAAAATTATAATAATGGTAAAGTAACCTAATGATTGGTATAATGGATTTAGAAATAACGGATTAATCACTTTGACAGTTAATAATAGGTAGGCATTATACATGTCATATGCTGATATTAATTATTGAAAAAGATTTAATAGTACATTATCTACCTTAATTGGCACCATTCTACTGCCAGATTTGTCTAATAATTTCAAATTAACTGTAGCTAAAGTGGAATGAATAATAATAATAATAATATAATCTAACCTATGTGTTAGGTGGTTAATCTGGAAAAATGCAAATCGCTCTATGACATGAGTCAAAACTAAGTATTTGCCATAGACAAAGAGAGAAGACAAAGGGGGTTTGACCGGTTTGTCCACACACCTTTTTTGCAATTTTTGTTATAAAAATCACATCAACCAGCCTTTAACTTTAGTTTAGGGGCCACGGAAAATTGGGTTTAACCTCAGCTTAGCTGCTCATCGACCCCCACGCACCCGACCCACCACCCACAAAAAAGGCCCAAAAAAAAGAGAGAGAGAGAGAGATTATGGGCCAAATGGAAAAAACACTATCTAATTATTTATGGTTTTAGAAATGTTTTCTTTAGCTAGCTAATTATTAGCTGTTAGGATGTTGGGCAGTCAGTTCACGACGATCATTCAAAAGTAATTGCTTTAAAATGACATGGATGTGCATTGATTGCACTTTCAAAAGGATACCAACTCATATTTTATATGTAACAATTTTGGTAAGAGATTAGTATCCTATGGAAATAAAGACTCACATAAAAATTTAAATACGAGTACGTATGATATTTCATTCTTGTACTTTTGTTTACTCCAATACTACATTAACTCTAAATACTTGAGTTATGTCATTTTACTAGATTGATTTTATCAGAATTGTGCCAAATTAATACTTAACGATATTTTATTGATAATTGAAAAATGTTTTTGGGCTAACTACTAATAAAATGCTGTCAAGTGGTAATCTGGCACAATTTTGATAAAATCAATCTTATAATATGACATAACTCCCAACACTTTGTATAAACATGTAGATTTTTTAAGAAAATGATTTTTTTTTTTTTTTTTTTGCACTTGTTATTTTATGTTTCTGAAATTAGATTAGTATGTCCTTGATTAGGCTCCATTTTCCAGTGTTATTTAGCACTACTAATGTCAAGTGTCTGTATAAGCGACAACTACATAAAATAATAGGTTTATTTAAATGTAATGTCACATAATTTATTTAATTGAATATATCGAGTATGGTCATCTAAATTAGTGCTCTAACATTACTAGTAAAGATATATAACATTATTCTCTTTCAAAACTTATTTTCAACCATACATTCTCCCATAAATTAATGTTAAACGTAGTTCAAATTCTTTATTATTTCTTAACTATACATTCTCCGAAAAATTGGACCAGGAATAGAAATATGTAGAGCCAAATGTGTGTGGTGTAGTAGGAGGCACTTCTAAGCCCCTTCCTAGCTATTGGATTGCTCGATACTTCAGGTATTAATACTATTCTAAAACATATTTTTGTCTCAAAATTTCATTTTAGTAGAGTCAAACATAGGCATATTTGTTAAATCCCTCAACAGTTTTATATGGTTAATCAATGATAGGAAATGTTGACTGGTTGTATAAATATGCCTCTCTCTCTCTCTCTCTCTCTCTCTCTCTCTCTCTCTTCTCACACCCCCCAACACCCCTCGGCATCCCTCCCGCGTCCTCCCTTCTATTGTGTCTTCTCATATCAGTTCATTTAGTCTTGAATTTCTAATTACCTTGAAAACTAAGGGCATTTGTTAAAGAAGAAATGACGGAGCGTCAAGCTATCTTCAAGAGAGATGATGACTCTTCAAGGAGCTCTACAAATTCATCGTTTACAGTTAGGACTGTAAGATATGGAGAGTGCCAAAAGAATCACGCTGCAAATGTCGGAGGATATGCCGTAGATGGCTGCCGAGAATTCATGCCATGTGGGCAGGAGGGAAGCAGTGCTGCACTCATTTGCGCTGCCTGTGGCTGTCACAGAAACTTCCACAGAAGAGAAGTCGAAACCGTGGTAGTTTCTGACCATTCTTCCCCTTCTTCAAACGGCTGTGGGTAGGGTAATTAAGTGCAATATTACATACATATTACATAAGGGATCTGGTGTGTGATTGTATGTTGTCTATGATCTCTCTTTTTCTTCTTCATTTTTTTTCTTTCCAAAATTCCAGTTGTGCGCCTGTGTGGGGACTTTGGTATTGACATCTCTCTTGCCTAAAACCACTCAATAAAATAGGGATAGTGAATGAGACGTGCTGGTCTTTCTTCCAGAGGTACAAGGAGAAAATATGGAGGATCCAAACAAGACTTTATGCTGATTGTTTAGTAACCTTTTTAACACAGATTGTTGTAAGAAATCCTATGGTGAATGGAGAGCAGTAAACATTATCATAATTATGTAAAAAAAATGTTGCTCCGTTGAAAAGACATGTATTTATTCTGTTTTCATTTCAATTAAAAGGATTATGGGAATGGACGAATCTAGGCTATGAGTTCAATTATGACTGATTGCAAACGTTGGACATTTACTATCAACAGTGAATGTCCGTGATAGCGATACAGGGTCATTTATTAATATTTAACTAAGTAATATTTAAAAAATCGTATGGACTAGAACTAAATGCACCATTAGAATTAGAATAAATAGATATTGACTTTCATTCCAGTTGAAAAAATCGTTCAATAATCTGCAAAAATGCCCCAATTTTTTTTTTTTTCAATTAGAATTGATTAAAAAAACAAAGCACACATGGTTGAATTGAGCTCAACATCTTCTCAATTGATTTTTTTTCTAAACATAAATTCCCAAATGACAAATTATAACTCATAAATGATAAATTATAGCTTATAACTCATACAACATAAATTATTTATCCCAACTACAAATTCACAATTATAATTTTAATGCCAAATTGCAAAATTTTGAAAACAATGAATTTTAGAACTAGAACTATTTTTTACCCCAAGATAATTTTATTTTTTTTCAAACTCTTAAAAGAATAAGAGCAATTTTTAGATTGTCCAAATTTGAATTTTATAAAACAAAATGATAAAAGTATCTATATTATGAACTAATAATTTGAGTGAAAAAAAATTTCAAAGAAATTATTTCAAAAACAAAAACTATAGTTGTTTATTTATCATTTATTGTAACAAAAAATTAAACAAAAAACTGGATGGATATGGAATTGAACCCCATACCTTTTACAAACAAAGAAGAACCCCTGCCCTTGCTTGGTACAATCTTTTATTAATACTACCCTTAATGACACCTTTTTCAGAAGTATTTATTACTTGATTTGAATGTCATTAACGTTGTGATGTGATGATTTGTTTTGTATATTATAAATATTAGAGCTATGATTATTATATTGGGTAATATGAATTTTTGAAAAAAAAAAAGAATTTGAAAAGTTAAAAAAAAAAAAACAAACAAACAAACACATCTTCTTACCATTCACAAACCCTAACTTCTTATCCATCTTCTTCATTTCATCATCAAGAAAATATTGCTATTGGATTCATCATCAATTTTTCAGAGGTTAACTATTATAAATTATTTATATTTTCATCTTATAACTTACTATTTTAAATATTAAATAGAACATTGTCATATTTATTTGAAATTTTTGTAACTCTTATTCATTGATTTGTTTGATTCTTGATATATTTTTAAGGGGAAAAAATACCAACATTCTTTAGAAAATGTAAAGAATTCCATAATTAATGAAGTATTAAGTTGTTCATTATTTATTTTTGGGAAAATATTACAGTTGAGAATTGATTAACACCATTAATGTTTTGAATAATTTCTTCCAAGGTACCAAATATATTTTTTCAAGTTTCTCGACAGTTCCAACAATTCACTTATCGAATTTAACATTTTGAAACCGTCATATTAGACATCTCAACCGTCGAACCTGACATTTTGAAACTATCGGGATTCAACCATTCATTTCACCTTTTGCTATTAAATGGATTTAAATATTCAAAAATGTCACTTTCATGCTATTAAATATCGACATATTGATTGTGCAGAGTTCTTACTATTGCAATTTCAATTTTTAGGTATTAGTAATCATTTGAGATTCATCATGTCGTATGGGAGGAAGTTTGTTTATGTGGATGACAAATGGAAGTAGAGAGTGGACAAAACTACTTTTATTTTAATTCCAACAAATATTATCCTATGCACTCGCTATGGTAGAGTTGGTCATAAGCGGATCACATGTTCCAACCCCATTCTAAACAACTCAAATAGGCTTGATGTCTGAAAGTAATTAAAGTTGTATTTTAAATGTTCCCCCGATGACGTTGCACATCTAAAGTTATATTATCATTTTTCATTTTATTATTGTTTGCAAATATTAGTCGTCTTTAAGTTCATAAGCAAAAAAATTACATAGACAAAAATTGCATACCATCCCAACAGAAGGTTTCTATCATTCTCGACAAATTGTAGCAAAGTCGAAAATTTGACTACAAAAAATATGTATAAAAGACATGTTGTTCTCCAGCAAATTCTCAACTTACATAATTATTAGCGTTTTATTACGTTTAGAGACATTGCATAACATCCTAACAAATTTCTATCATTCTTGACAGTTGGTTGCGAAGCAGGAGATGTAACTACTAATAAGATGCATAAGGGATAAACTGTTGCATAACATTTGATAAAGACGTTACCATATTTATCCTTTACAAAAGTATAATACATAACTCAACAATTTTTCTCTTGCTAATCGAACAATCCATCAAGTATGAGAAATGATAAATGATAAAATGTGTAACCACATGTGAACGCAACCACCAAATCATGTTTTATAACCACATTCTTGAAAGGAAGCAAAATGAGATCATTTAGTACACTGTTACAAATCAATTTAATGTAGTATTAACAAATTTCAATACACTATTTCTTTACTCTCTTTCTTCTCTTCTTGCTACATTGAGTACTAGTAGATGTTTCAGGAAATCTAATGTGTGTCGATCATTGCCTATTTGTGTTAACAACATTGTTGCTTTAGACGAGTGTGGTGACTGCCTCCATCACTACAAGCTAAGGGAACTTTCTCATTGTCCGAGCATGACACTTCGGGCTCTATGACTCTTCCATCCATTTAAAAACAACATTTGCCACACTAACCGACATGAGTTTATTATTTCTAATTTGCAAACAACAAAATAAGATGAGAATATTTAAAATTTTGAATTCCTCATAATTAGCGCAAATACCATTTACATCTTGGTTCCCATTGGACATGGACCCTCATGACTATTCAAACACGGGTTGATGTCTCCTCCATCTAATTGAAAACAACAATTACAATACTATTGGATATGAATTCAATATTTCTAGATTGTATATTACGAAATGAAACGAGTGTATATAAAATTTTCAATTCTTCAGATGTTAATGCGAAACACACATATAAGAAAGTAAAAAATCAACTATAATGTTTGAGAAATACTGCATTTAACTGTCGAGAATGACAGTTCATATCGAAGGATGACTCATCTGTCAAAAATAATTGAAACAAATTGTGGGAAACAATAGTTCATCGCAACAAATAGGTCACATAACTGATATGTCGAGAAGTTCTCGTCTGTCGAGGATTCATAATTGTACAGACTTTCATTGTGATAAATTAAACAGTTCGCTTAGAAGATTCGTTACCCATGTCTAACCTAAAAAATAATAATAAATAAGGTAGTTAGAATTGCAAGTATAATAGAACAATCAGCTTTCACAAACCAAACAAATTCAGCAAAACATGAAGTAAAAAATTGACAAAACTTGAAAATGTAGACTCCAAACAAAGCCAAAGCCAAAAAAAAAACAAAACAAAAAACTCTCATGGTCTAGATCTAGGGAACTAAAAGTTGATAGTACAATCTAAGAGAAAGACAAGAAAAAAAGGAGCGTTAGTAAAAAACTTGGAACAAAATCTTCAATCTATTAGGAATTTACTTATCGGAACAATGGAAAATAAAACAAATTTCAATTCTCACAACGGATCTGCTTTGTGCTTAGATATAAATTTTGATAAAAATTATACCTTTTCTAGACTAGTCATTCACCCGTGCAAGCTGTGTTTTTTTTTTTAAGGTAATGTTAGAGTGTTACTTTATGATATGAGAAGATCCAAATTAAAAGCATGTTGATGAGATAAATGCACAGAGTCAATTGTATCCTCATTTGGACTGTGTTCCGCATTAAAAATTACAATAATTAACAAATTGAGTCTCTTATTTAAAAATCATCAAACAAAAGTAGAATTTCTTGCAAGTGAAAATACCCAAAAAAATAAAAAGAAAAAGGAGGTGCAAGAGAAAAATATAGTAGTTGAAAAAAGAGAAGAAATTGAATTATTCTCATACAGCTGAGTGGTTGGTTGAATCTTGAATTGTCGCTCAAAAACCTAAAAAATAAACACAAAATCTTCTTATTCTTAACATGATATTCACAAAATCACAACAAAGAGTAAGAATAAATCGAAAACAAAAACTCATATGAAATTCAATAATTTATGTATGCATACAAATAAATATACAGAGAGAGGGAGAGACTCAAATGATTTTGACCGGAGGTATATTAAGTGTGTTCAAGTTTTTCCGCACTTAAAGCTTCTGTCTAGAAGTAGACAACATTTTCACACAAAATACTGAGATCAGCCCATGTAAGCATACAAAGAAGAATGCTAATCTTACCAGAGGTTTTCTATTCCTGTGGACACTGCTAAACAGTGCACCATCCATTTTAATCTTCCCCGCTTTAAAGAAAAATGATGTCAAAGTGATAACTCAAATATGCAAGCTTTTTGTTAGAACTCACACGCTTTACACTAACTACTCAAGTGTTACTTATAGGAGTTCAAGACTGAAGAATATCACTCTTCACTTTGATTACAGTCAGCGGTTATTATTTTTGCTTATCGTTTGCACCCCTGCTCAATTACTAATTCCTATTTTGGCTGTGTTATTCGTAAGTGTATATTTGAAGGAAGAAGATCAAGTAGCTAACGTGGATTTTATTTTTGGATTACCTGGCAGATTATGACAAATAGCTTCCTCTATTTCTCTTTCTTTTACAACAATGAACAGTAACCAATTCCAAACCTAAATAATAATGAGCCTTACTCCCTAAATAAATAATGAGTCAAACATGCTTGAGCCAAAACTATGCTTTTCTTTAGGCATAGACAAACATGCTCTTTATGAGTTTCCAAGACCAAAAGAATAACTACATAATAATGACATTTAACTTATATTTAATCAAAAGAGTTACTCCGAGTATGGCAAAGAAAAAGTCCAATACAAAACCTTTTGCTCCTAAATATAGTAGTCATATTATTTGCCCCATTTCTCAACAAATCCCAAGTTCCTATATAGGCTTTAGCTGACCATTTCATACACAGTAGGTTTCACAATGGGCAATAGAAAGTCTAAATAAATGACACTAAAAGATATCTTTAAATGATGTTTATATAAGGCAACTAATGCTAAAGAATTTGAATTTGTAGTATCATTTATTATAGAAGTGCAAAAATTTCTATCAAAATCAGAACATACTTAAAGAGGGTATATAAAATAGTGAGAAAATGAAAAAATCATTTTCCCCAATAGTTCTACTGAACTCTTGCAAACTTGGTTTCCCTTGTTGGTTTTGTAAACAACACAAGTTGCACATAAGTCTACTCGATGCCATTAATGATGCTAATGGCATCAAATGGGATTCAATAGTATGATAAATACACATAGCTTTGTAGGAGATTGGCTCTTTATTAAAATGAATTAAAATTGGACTCAATATCACCACTAAGTCAACTAATGGAATGGGTTAGTAAATATGAATAAGAATATTAAGATGAAACAATCTTTAGGGTTTATAGACCATTGTCCTCAAGTAATAAATTAGTACCCTAAATTGCAATGGCATTGACTACGGGCATATAAGTCGTATACTGACAAATAAAACAAGTAAATCAACTGTAAAGATTAAAAAGTCAAACGTTTGTAATAGTACCTCATACGTCACTGTTCATTTATTACTTTGCATAGGCTTAAGATAATAATTCATAATACCAATGTACAAGCACTTGGTCTCAAACATTTTCTTCGCTTCCATAAGAACGGCGTCCACTCTGGCAAATGTGTCGTCAGTTTTTGCGAAAGCTCTTCTAAACTGCAAAATTACAAAATAAAATCAGTCGAGTACAAACATAATTTCAAACCTTAATTTATCAATGAATCCACAAATCACTCCATATTTACATATTGCAGTTGTCTTTAAAACAACAATGTCATAGTTATGCATGTATGGTGCTATCACAATGCCTCTGAAAAAGTCAATTTCTTTCTTTAACTCCATACTCACTTCATGTCTTGCATGCTATCAGAAGAAATTCTTTTGAATAAATCTCAGAAGCTTTCAACGAAAGAATTAAAAGAGGTTACATTTGTGGTATACATGCTATTAAAAGGTTCACCTATCAGTGCAACAAAGAAATAAGCGACATATTTGAAGATTTTATTAGCTTGTACTGCATCCAAGACTTCTTGACAACCATACGTTCTACAAAGTGGATGCCTGCTGAAAGAATACCAACGATCAAGTTAACCAGCCTTTCTAGAATAAGTGGAGCCTTCCATCCGTTAGATCAATGAAGATTCTATTGAGGTGCAAAACCAGGGTGTGATGTGGGCAAGGAAGCAGCGAAAACAGAATGGACATTAATGTCTCCCATCAAAGATAATCCAGTGGCATCTTGAAATGTGAATCCTTAGAACATTAGTTGAACACTTGAGCAAGTCCCATATATCACAAGACCCTAGATCCTCAATAGTCATGACTTACAGGGTGGTAAGGAAATGAGGTCATGTTTTCCATCAACCACTACAACAAAATATTATTTTTGCAACATGTAACATGCAACATTCATCAATCAAATGTTGCTAAAATGGTTTATTGCAACATTTTAATAAATGAATGTTTCCACTGGTGTTAATAATTGAGATTTGACATCAGGGGGCAAAATTTAATTTCCAAAACAAAGGGACTTTTTTTCTTTCCTATTTTTCCATTTTTTTGTAGGTCCCATCGAACAAATGACAAACCCTAAAATAGTGATATTAGATCTTTTATACCGGCCTCATCTTTATCAAACACTTTTTAAGTGAATATTGCTAATGTCACCCTTTACAACGTTTATTAAACAACGAAAAGATAACGTTGTGAAAATCATTTCTTGTAGCATTTATTGAACGTTGCGAAAAGTTATGATTTTCGGCATTTATTGAACGTTGTGAAAAGATTACTTTTCGCAACGTTTGATTTTTCGCAATGTGTTGTAAACGTTGCTAAAGATAACTTTTGTAAACGTTGCGAAAATGTTAAAGCCAAGGTTGAAAAAACATTGCGAAAGCATCTTTTGCAACAGTTTTTAAGCATTGCAAAAATTGAACTTTTGTAATGGTGAATAAACGTTGTTGCATCTCTTCCTTCAATGGCAATATCAACCCCGCAACACACGCAAAAACGATGTAAATGACCTTTGCTGCATTTTTTTTGACTACTGCAAAAGCCCCTTTTTTGTGTAGTGAACATCGATATGGTACCCTTCCAAGCTAGAATTTAGAGTAAGGAAACTTCACATCAGAAAAAAGTTGATGAAGTTTTGAAGAATTCGGAAAAACTTCCAAACGACATCAAACTCATGGGACAAAATGGATATTGGGAACCCTGTTAATTATCTTGTTGAAGGTAATATTAGAAATTCCAAGCTGTTTAAGCAAAATTAGGAAATTAATTGTTGCTCATTCTCATTTTTCAAGAATTGCTGTTATTATTTGATCACAAACAACGAAAAGATAGTATTTTCCCCATAAAATTTAGATTCTTCAAACAATCTCCATGGTAAAATTAAGCAAATGTAATTTCTTTTACACCAAACTCAGCTCAAAAACGTATTTCTTCCTTGTTCACTCTTCGGTAAATTAGCACCAAGTCGCCATGATAGTAACAAAAAAGAAAACATAGTAACAGAAATTAGATAGAGAATTGGATATTAGGTTTCTTTCATTTTTCAATATCTTTTCGAGATTTCCATTGATTACCACAAAGAAATCAGAAAATCGAACTAGGCATAACCCAAATCTATTATAAGAGCAAGTTTTGAAAAAAATCACTTGAGTGGATGCATGGCTATTTCAAATGTAGAGAGTGGATGGTCAAAAGAACCCAAAATGGAGACCATTTTACCGGTACAAAATAATTAGAGATTGTATAAATAATAGTAAATACTAAAAGCAAGAAAGAGAAATTACATAAATAAACTTGATCGATTTGATAAAATTAAAATCTTGAATTTTGATCGAGAATAGAAAAAAAGTGTAGAATAGAAGTACCTGCAACCCACCAAACACCGAAGAAGGAGAAACCAATTTCAAGCTTGTGATTTTGTTTGTGGAAATCAATCAAGATAGAGAAGATGACAAAGGGAAAGTGAAGACGTGCGAAGAAGGAGCACCAGATTGAAAACCAAATCTCACATGTGAAAGAACTCAATAATTGAGATGTTGACTATCATCTCTTTCTGTTCTTGAGATTGAATGGCGGTTAAATTGTGGCTCTACTGTAGAAGCAAATGTGATTTTTCAACAATTGAGGCTGTCACTGTAGAAGAACCAAATGACCAACAGTGTACAAAAAGTCAACTGTGAAAACAATGGTGCACAAATGAACAGTACACTTATCATCCTCTCTTTTAATATAGTATAGTATTTGCCCGTGCGTTGCACGGGTTGTGTTAATTAAAAGCTAATGTTAGTATCAATGTGAAGGAGTAATGATATATATATTGAATCCGATATATATGTTTTTCTTTTCTAAAAATAGTTGTGATCAATTAAGATCCATATGAATTAAAACATAGCGTGCATTGCATTATAAAATTAAGTGTGAACTGTGTTATAAAATTAAGACGAACAAATATTTGAAAATTTATACCCAGTTTTGAAATGGAAACAACTCAAAAGCTGATAAAATGATTGATATAAAAAACACACTCTCATATGCTAGTTTTTATAAATTATCATCTTTTACAGTCAAAAAAAAGTTGAAGCATTCATTTCAAAATATACAAAGAGACATGTGAAGAGGATGATACTAAATATTCGTTCAGTTTTTCCTTGGCTACTCCTAACATTGCACTGAACTCTTATGGATGTACTAACCTATAGTTCTTCCTGCTTCTAAATACATAGCTGACCAGATGAATATGGAATAAGGTTTGCTAAGTTGATTTTTGCATTACCAAATATATTATCGTGGTGGAACCCAAAACATCCTATGACACATTAATATGTGGTTGTAATCATCCAACAACTAACTTCAAATACACCTAAGAAAGGGGGAAAGGTTCATGTTCATTTATATACTAACAATTAAAGAATCTCAAAGGAGACATAAAGTATCATATAAGAGGAATGTGAAATTTGAATTTATCCACACTATCTATAGAACAGTCAAGATAACAATATGTACCCAAGATTCTTCTGATAATGGGTTGATTATCGTTATGATGCGAGATTCCATTCCGTGAAATTTGAAACAAAAGGAGTCATTAAATTACCGAACCTCACTTTGCTTCTTTGCCAAGTAAAAAAAAAAAATGCAAGCCCATTGACGGTGTAATTAGATAAGCACCCATTGTGTTAACCCTGTAAGTTTGATTTTTAAGGTAAGCACAAGCTATGTATTTAAGTTCCTTCATTTTCCTCTTCTATGCACCTTGACATTTCACCAGATAATCATATCAAGGGCAGAACAGTTGTGGTAAAGGTAGCCTACAAATTAATAAATGCCAACAAAATTAGGAAGAAAAAGACCTACAATTGAAAGTATTCAACTTGTGATTATGAGTAGAGGGCCCTATCTTACACTCACCCACAAACACACACATAGAGATATTTATTGTCAAGGATCCTTCAATTTACAATTATCATATTTATCATGTTTCATCTCACCATCTTAAAAGCTTAGTTCTATTGGTTTAGGTAGAACCCTCAATGGATTATGCTATTTGCCCAGAAAATGACATCTAGAAAGTGTACCAAAAATTATGTGTAGAGAAATAATTGAATGAAAAAGTTAACTATGTTTAAAATTGTCCAATAATAAAGTGTCATGTAACATTATGTAAACCATTATGTGAGGCTTGATGTACATGTAGCAAGTCCCTCTAATTTACAATTATCATATTTATCATGTTTCATCTTACTATCATAAAGGCCTAGTCTATTGGTTTAGATAGTTTTTTGTTAATAGTATTTCACGAAGATTAAAACCAATAAAGGAAAAAATGCATAGAGAGTAAATAGTCTTGATATCAATTTTGTATACAACAACAAAACAAATTATCCAATAATAAGAAGAATTTAAAATTAAATACATGCAACTTCTGATCAACAACAATTGGATCACTCAAATTGAGGCATTGAATATTAAAACTATGGGTGCCTATCTAATTACACCGTCAATGGGTTTTCATTTTGTTTTGTACTTGGCAAAGATGCAAGATGAGGTTTGAGAATTTAATGACTTTTATTGCTTCAAATTTCAAGTTATTGTTTCAGGTGCTATGCATTTGAGGCTTGTGTTAATATTTTTGGGTTAATAATAACAGCGAAAGAGATTAATAAAGACAAAGGGTACTAAACTTTACAAGTCGAGAAATTAACCCAAGTAGCAACTGAGGATCAAAAGAATGAGAGATCTATAAAAATTTGACAGCCAAATGATATATATATTATGCATGTTTATCAGCATATTGGTAGCGCTCACACTTCCTTCAATGAAGTCCTCAGTACTAATATAAGTCAAGGTTTATCCGAGAACGGATCTTTGTAGAAAGGAAGGCTACAAATTAGGATTTATTGATAGCAAAGAATCGACATTTACTTGCTAAAATAACATGCTTCAATAATTGGTTGTTTTGTCTCTGGATTAATTTACTTTTTTGAGATTGTGGTGCCTTGCAGAATTTTTATCATATCATATTCCTGTTTGTTCTTGTCAAGGAAATTGAGCAATTGAATAAATCATGACAGCGAGAATATAAATTTCTCAAAACGACACTCCAGTCAAATGAATTAACTAAACATTCGAGAGAACATGTCCATCAATAAAAGAGTTATTTTCAAGTATAGTGGAGTTCAATGAGCAACAAAATCCATCCGAAATAGAATTACAAGCTTCACCACAACAAAATTATCATGTCCAAATTTTCGAATAAAAAAGACTATTCTAGCATGGTAATACAAAAAAGGGCAGTAATTGTAATGTGCTTCTTCGTAAAATTCAATTTCTTAATGTCACAACATATTTCCTGAACCATTGTTTCAATTTGCTCTGCCTTGGATTTAATTTCTCGAATTTTATACTTGAGCACGAACAGTTTAGCAGGTAAGTAGATGCCAATGGTGGCATTGATTTTTGCAAGCAAAGAACCAATTACTGATTTTTGCAATATATTTATATTCATAAGCATATTATAAAATTAGATGAGACATTCATCGAATGTCTGGATAGTTTAACATAAGATTTTGATGGTGATATTGAAACAGATCAATCCATTTATTTGCTGCACAAGGAATATATTACTTGAATGAACAAATAAAGTCTATCCTAGAGGTCGGGCAAATATACTTCAAATTGAAAAATACCTTATGTTCCTTCTAGGACTTCTGCTTCTACTGCCGTTCCTACGTGGCCTTCTTGATGGGCTGTGCTTGTATTTGTTCACCTGAATTCATCGATTTACACAGGAAAAGGAGATTATTATTTTCAAGAGATATTTTCTTTCGTAAAGATATTATTGCATGAATTCTTTGATTTCAATTGTATGAATTACAATGTTCTGAGAGTTAAATCCCACTATGAAGAAAATCGTTTGAGATTACACGGATGTATAGGTTACAGAGGCTCGAAGTTAATTTCTAACGTAATATTAGAAACTGGATTCCAAATGCTTGCCTTGGTTTTTTATTTTTGGTTAAGGAGAATCGACATTCTTTGAAAATTTAATCACTTAAAAAAAAAAAAAATAATACCCAAAAAAAAAGAGAGAGAGAGAGAGAGAGAAACTATTTATTTTTTTTTTAAATATCTGGATATAATTTCTGTTCCGAGGGCTCTTAGACTTCCTATCATCAAGTTTTCGGATCTGAAAAAAGAGGAAAACAAATTGCCAAATTGAATGGAAAAATTCATGGATACACAGAATGTTTCACTTTCAATACGAATACAACAATGACTTACAACATATTTAATATCTTTGGAATTAGTATAGTCAACTCCACCAAAGATTCTTGAATACAATAACAAATTTTTATGAACACCATTAACAAGGTTGCACAGGTCCAATAGTATCTATAGAGTTTTAAAAAAATGGTATTGAGTAAAACAACTTACCATCATCATCAGAGCCAAAAGTAAGAAACATTAAACTAAAACTGACTTGCACTAAAAGTGTTATCATTTTAGCTTTAATTAGCTCAACGCCACTATATGATACGGCCTTCTAAATCTTGCTTTGAGACGACTGGAGTTCTATGAGATTATGCAAGTCTTAAGTTTTGAAGCTGAAAACTGTGAAGTACTTCAAAGAAATGTAGTCGTAAGCTGTGCTTATCTTCAAGAATTCAAGAGCATAATTGAGAGGAAATATACTTAAACAGCATTGTTGAATAGACATCAATTTTTGAAAATATCTCTAAAGCAAAAACAGCCAGATTCAGGAATCAGATCACATCATGCAAAAAACCAAACCTAATTCAGCAAGTTTGAGTCAATTTGGTGCAGCCAAGTAATAAGCTAACTAACATACCGCAAGGATGAAAGGTAAATCATAGCTTTAGCGTGACCACCCACTTTTTGTTTGCTAGTAGCCGAGTTAATTCCTATGGGTCTTCCATTCATCTCAGCCATGACTTGAAGTTGGTCTCTTTCATCACGAAACCTCACAAATCAGCCACCAAACATCATGAAATATCCTGGTTGTTTGGGAATGATTTGTTAAAACCTCAAAAAAAAATCGAACATTAAATAGTGTATCTGAAATTGGAATCAGACGAACACTCTATGAAGCATATAGTTTTATAACTAGCATGATGTATATGAGCAAAATCACAAGACGACACAAGAATATACATTTTCAATTGAGAGCACGATATGGGAAGATGCATACCGATTTTATGTCCTCTCTCATATGTTGAAGTTTTACATTGAAAATGCCTAACCATTCATCCATGTCCTCAACACAATTCTGAAGGTCCTGTAGTACATGCACGATCCCTAAATAAGTCATTCAGGGCTCACGTTACTGTCAACTTGAAAGGAAAGAAATTCAAACAAAATGCAATCATCATAAAAAATGAAGTCCAATTGTCCATTCATAGGGGGAAAAAATATTGTTCAATATCTAAAATATAGCCCATAGAACAGTTCGTATTCATATAAAATTTATTTTCAATGTTGCAAATGACTTAGTTTTTTATAAACCAAACAAATTTTGAAGGTGGTTCAGCCAACATACACATCCTCAAAATTAATATTTCAAACACAATAACGAAACCATGAGAAAAAAATGAAACAGGGGAATACTCTCATAAGCCAAAAATTATCAATTAACAAAAATATCTTATTGGATCACAATAACATCACCTCGATGTTAATGCTTAAAATCCAAAGTTACCTCATTAACCAATGCTCGTTCTCAAAAATTACATGCACATTTTCCGTTTCCAAAGCTTGAAGCTCTCTTTTCAATCGCTCAAAAAATGCCCCTACTTCACTGATGCCATGACATAACTGAAAGGTGTGGCATTATTAGCAACATGACAAGTGTTTTAAGTGATATGAAAGTAGTAGTGAAAATGTGCTAGGGCCAACGAAATAAGCTTACATCAGTATTATGAATCATCTCCTTCAAAAGTCCAAAACATTAAGCAAGTCACATTTCAAACAACCTAACCTACTCAACCAAACTTTTGTGTCTCGATCTACTACAATCCTTAACATCCTAAAGCTTTAAGAACTTCCATAAAATTTTTACAATACATAAGTTAGCAAGTTTTTTATTTTACCCTTCCTCTTTTACTGTAACAGCCTATATACCCAAATTTCTATCTAACAAAAACGAAATTTACATTTGAACAATATTTTTCTCATTCATAACACATCTTAATAGTGGCTTAGAAAAAGAAAATCACAATAACTTCATATAACATTGAAAAACCGAAAGATAAAATTTCAACAAAAGTTTCAAAGTATGTTATTTCAATTCCAAAGTATAAAGTACATAAGTGCCTAAGAGAGCTTCCATGTCATTATCTTTGTTCATAAAGTTTGATGCAGTTTACAGTCGACTTTCGGAATAATATAAATAAAGAAAAAATAGTCTATACAAATTTATATCATGTACAATACTTGTAAATGATAATTCCTTTCATAAGGTTAGCCTGAAGATTACAGAGGAAGTTAAAGAAGACAATAACCCAATAAACTATAGAGAGAAAATCGAAGAAGGAATCAAACAACATTTAACTTTATTTTCTCATTTTGTACACTTCACCCACTCTAAATGAACCTATACTTAGAACATAAAGCTACAAAATTTGAGCCTTTTGCGCCACTTCCATAGGTCATTCTGCTTTATTTCATGGTATTTCCTCTTTCTAGAAATTAGAAATTAAAAAAAAAATCTCTTTCCGATTCTATATGAATTTGTAGGCCGATTGGAAATTCAAATGCAATAAAATCACTTAGAGGAAAACCACTAACGATATTATCTGGAAGAGATGTCACAGTTCTTCCTATATCTAATATAGCCAAGAGTTCAGTAGGTGGCTTTTCATTAAACACATCTCTGCCCTTTGTTGCATCTTTTGGTTCCTCATGTTCTCTCCGACTTGCAAGAAGATCAAAATAAGCCTTTGTATCCAATTGTGAAAATGAAAATGAAAATAAAAATATAATTCCACAATAATATATAATCAACACCCATATGTGTCATACCAAAGCAAATGAAAAAATAACAGATGAAAACTTTATTTTCAACGGAAGTTGAAACATTGGATCGGTTAAATTTTACAACAAAAAAAAAATAAAAGGTAGTTAGATTCATAAGCACTAATTATACTAGGCATTTGAGATTAAAGCTCGGTTATGAAGAAAATGAGAAACAAATATACAAAAAGCAAATATCAAACAAAAGATTAACACTGCAAACCAAAGATCGAGCAAAAACTTAAGCTCGTGTGCTAGATCAAGGTTATCAAAATGCTTATCCAAGATCCTCATCTCCCTTCCAAAAAAAAAAAAAAGCAATAAATGAGATTCCAACACCAAAACAAAATAGAACTTTACCTAATAGAGATCTTGTTGCTGCCATTAAGGAAAATGGGAGTTCTAATAGAACGAGATGGAGTTAGGGCTCAATCTTCTGGGTTTCTTTGGGGGTTCCTTGGTTGAGTGGGCACCTCGACAAAGAGGAGTCGGAGTCGACGGACAAATGAGGAGTGTGACAGCAAGACAATGGTGGTTGTGATTTGTGGAGAGAGTCTACAAATTTAACGGCACCAAGGCCTTGGAAGGAATAAAGGTTTCCTAAAGATTTTGGTTCCTCTGTTGTTGGCTGGCTTCTCCAATACAAATGGTATATGAAAGAAGATATTTACACAATAGTACAAAACCTGATAATGAACAATAAACATCCGGTTCACGTGTGAAAAGTAGGGTGAAAAGTAGAAAAGTGAATTTAGGATCCTCTTTTTAACTCCCCGTTTGGTAGTGATTTTTTGCCCCAAAAAATTGATTTTTTGACCGTTATTTTACTATTTAAGTCGTAATTTTTGACTTCTTTTCTCACATGTGGACCCCACTTTTCTTCTAACGGTCAAAAAATAATTCTCAAAATCCCTACCAAACGGTCAAAAAATAATTCTCAAAAAATAATTCCACACAAAGATCAAGATTGTAGTAAACTATGATTTTCTCCTCTGGTGTTAGCAAGAAAAAAGTTTTCTACAAATTACAAACTCTAGTCACTTATTTATATAAGCTCAAACGGGTTTGATTTGACTCGATCCAATATTTAATTAATTTATTTAATTAAGTCTGGTCCATGAATTAATTAATTCAATTAAGTAATTCAGGTCTATAAATAAGCAACACAATTAATTAATTTATCCAACGCTTGTTAAATTAATTAATTGACAAATCACAATCTTCTAGTACTCTTTTTGTGTGCGACCCATTAGGTTTCCAATCACGATGTCTAATATCGTGAATTATTATTTAGATCTAACCAAACTTGATAAATTAAAATGTCATTTTAATTTATCACCAATTCACGTTCCCATCCCAAATTGACATCTAATAATGTGTCAGGGCAATACATGTAACGAAAAATGTCACGTGGTATGATAAAATCAAACTCGTTCTTCTACTGTGAAACTATAATCCCTTCGTCAATATGATCCGATCAATTACGAGATAGGGAAGTGTGCCAATCCGATTATCGATCATATCATTCATTCCACTATTAAGTCAATATAAGTTGAAAACTCATTTTCGACTTCTGAGTATACCTTAGCCAGAGATTTCGTTATGAACTCAATTGAATGAAATGTAGATCATAATCTTCTACTATCTAAGAGTGAGAAATCCTTTATTGGTCATTTACAACTTTCATATGATTCTTAACATACCCAAGCACTGTCGTATTAGTGGCATTTAGTAGAGCAATATCCAACACCGCCAAAGTATGATTGTCCTCATATAAGGTATTATGATGATCTAAAGTCAAATGACCAATTTCACTATCAAACGTTGGAGATTAACCACTGATACTTAGATAGTTATCCACGTAAAATCTCTCGGCCGATCTCCAATGTTTTGTTTTATGACAAAATATTCACGTGTTCATTTAAGTTTCACCATACTTTAGCTACTAACTTCACAAGTAAAAAATATCATAGGTGGTGATCTATCTGTATCTCGTTATTACTTACGAATATGGATTATTTAAGATCCAATCATACGTAATTTGTATCTCACAGTCACAACTCATTGTGATTAACAAATTACTGAAACTTGAAGTTACAGACTTTATTATTTAATATTTATTGTCTCATTGAAACGAAGATTTCAGCTCCTAGAGGTTCGCTTTGATATAAAAATTGATCGATTGGGTTTACATACATTGTTGGCTTCTTTAGATTTAAAACATCCTGGCTGTGTCATGTATGCTTCCTCTTGTAAGTTTACATTAAGGAAAGCAATCTTGACATCTATTTGTCATATCTCATAATCATGATATACAACAATTGCAAGCAAAATCCAAATGGACTTCAGCATGACTGTGTCACCTTTTGCAACTAGCCTTACTTTGTATGTAAAGATGTTCCCATCCATATCGAACTTTTTCTTGTAAATCCATTTACAACCTATGGGTCTTATCCCATCAAGAAAGTCAACCAAGGTTCAAACCTTGTTCTCATACATTGAGTTCATTTCGAATTCAATGACCTCTTGCCATATCTTTAAGTCAACACTTGACTTCACATCTACGTAATTAATAGGTTCATCATCTTCTACTAATAATATTTTATTAGTAATCGTGAATTCATACCTTCTGAGGGTTGAGTGGTCCTACTTGATTTACGTTGAGTTGGAGCGTCTTCAGGAATCTCTACATCTTGATCGAGAGCCTGTCCCTAAGCAAGTATGTGATCAGACTCAGGTTCATCTAATTGGTCAACAATATTAGTGAATCCATGAACTTCTTCAAGTTCTAATTTGCTCACACTCTCCTAGAATAAACTCTTTTTCTAAGAATATGGCATGCTTTGAGATCAACACCTTCTTCTCAATGGGATTATAGAATTGATATCCAATTGTTTATTTTGGATATCCACAAATATGCATTTATCGTATTTAGTGTCAAGCTTATTCGTTTCATTACACTTCAAATAAGCATCATAGCCCCGAACTTTCATATAAGATAAGTTGGGTCTTTTTCCTCTCTACAACTCGTATGGAGTTTTGTCGAATGATTCAGATGTGACACAATTTAGTGTGTAGCACATAGCAATTAGTGTATGATTCCAAAATGATTTTTGAATGTTTGCATGGCTCATCATTGATCGCACCATATCTAACAATATACGATTCTTTCGCACCATTATGTTATGGTGTATATGACGGAGTCCACTGCAAGATAATCTCATTTTCTTTTACAAATTCTCCCTTCAAATATTCTCTACTTCGATCTGGTCTCAGTGTGAGAATATATTTACCTGTTTGTTTCTCTACTTCAAGTTTGAATTCCTTGAACTTTTCAAATGCTTCATGTTTGAACTTCATCAGATATACATAATCATATCTAGAATAGTCATCAGTAAATATAATGAAGTGAGAAAGACCACCTCTAGTGGTGATTGTCATGGGTCCACATACATCAGTGTGCATTAGACCCAATAGCTTCGTAGCTCTTTCTTCTTTTTCCGATAAAAGAAAATTTGGTCATCTTACTAATAAGCACGACTTACATTTGTCAAATGATTCCAAATTAGTTGATCCTAAGTATCCATCTTTATTTAACTTAGAAATGTGTTTCTCGTTAATTAACCCAATCTACAATGTCAGAGATAAGTATTATTTAGGTCATCATCTTTATGCCTTTTATTTTCTATACTCATAATAGATGACTCAGTATCAAGAATAAAAATCACATTTTGCAATACATCACAACCATAAAAGATCTCATCTTTATAAAAAGAACAACGATTGCTCTTAATATTAATTGAAAAATCATTCATGTCCAGACATGAAATATAAATAATATTTTTAGTAAAGGAAGGAACAAAATAGCAATTTTCTAATTCGTAGAAGCATGTGTCCTCAAAGTTGAAAAATGTAAGAAATAACATATGTTTCCATTAAAAAAAATTGACAAAATGATATTTGGGTGCCCATGTAGTTTGCGCACGTCCGAGTAATTTTTGTCTACAATTGAACTACCACGGTATGTACCATAACTTTATGGATATTTAAAAGTATAATAATATAGGTACCGGTGCTTAAGTTTGTCATTAAAATGGAAAAGTGCTACTCTACGTTCCTGATTTGTTATTCTTTAGGGTAATATTCCTTGATGGATCTAGATGTAGAAAACAAATTTCTTACCTGCTTGCATTGGTTTATCAGTTTGATTTTGATGGAGATGAAAATTAGAGGATTTTATTTCATATTTTTCATATTGAATTGGCCAACAATTTCTGTTTTAATTCTTACGGGTTATATTTGCTTATAATTAATGGAAGTATGATATGGTTTTGCTCAATTTTTAAAAGCTATAATCGGGTATCAATGTTTTATAGTTATGTACAACAAGGTGCCTAGAGCCCTGTAGAGGTGTGAACTTTATAACAAACTAATAAAATATTTAAGAGAATATAAAATTACAAAATATATTCATAGTAAACCATAAATTATCTTTAAAAATCCATAATAAAACATAACAAAATTAAAACTCTTAACTTGTAAACAAACATAAAATATATCACTATGGTAACAAATAAATAAATTTGCAGAGCGTAATAACATAAGAAATTTATAATCTACCAAAAGTAGTAAGAACCAAAATGTTCCTATATATCACTGCTAGCAAGTTCTTTATTTGATTTCTCCGTTGCTTTCTTAAACATTAGCATTTTTTTTCTTACTTTCCATTTTCCTTCATCTATGTATAGGCCGAAAATTGAGAAAGAAATAAAACGTTGTAGGATGTAAAAAAATGGTCCAAAAGGCTAAATCTAGCCATAAAATTAAAAGGCAAGACAAATGAGCAAACACTTTAGTTGCATGAGGCATGAGATGTAAGCCTCAAAAAGTATTTATGACTGACCCTAGGATAGGCTGTATACTATTTCTATACAATCACACTAATTTTAGCTATTGCAACATGTTTAGAACATGATGTCATGGTGCAATTGTCTGACTCACCACTCTCTCTTTTGATATTGCGAGTCAACTAGATAAATGAGGTCACTTGACTAATTGGAAAAAGTGTTTGTCTACTTCTTTGGAACCAAACAAATATTGTGAGTGCTCTTCTTTGTTTCTCACGGATTATATGTTGGTTGAATAATTTGTGCTTTGTTCTTTGTTGTAATCATTTTTAAATGAATAATTGAAACTTATGGTTTGAGTTTCTCTTTCATGAAATTGTGGTATGCATTAAGCTAATTGCATCTTTGATAGTTGAAGCAAACAAGCGGTTGATGAACCTTTAATTCATGATTGAATTTCCCTTTTTTTGTTTTTTTCCTTTTGAGATTTGCTCTTGTATGCTGAGCTCTATCTCAGGGTTATGACGACAGCACCTGGCCTCTTCTAGATGTAAAAGGCAAGTATTGATATACCCACATAATTTTGAAATCTTTAATTCCTTAGTCATCTCCCATTCAACTTTGACATTCTTGCGACTTTGAAAACAACTTTTGTATCTATTTTTATAATAGCCATAATAGATTTGTAGAACTCTTAGAGATTTTTTTTACTGGTATAATTAACTTGCAGGGTTCTAAAACAAAGCTATCAAGCGCTTTTATCGACCACATAGATCCAAATTAGGTAAAGTATCCTTATTCCTCTTTTCGTATTTTTT